CTGAAATTCCAATCCCAGCATGTTTGCCTACTACTAACTGGCTGCCCTCTAGCAACAGCTCTCAGGGGCAATAAACAGGAATCGCACAGCTAAAAATTCAAAAAAATGACGTTATTTCTTAGTGAATGAATTATATGGTGAACCATTGCCATTGCACCGGGGAGGAAAAACGGTAGTGGGGTCCTCATGGAATGAACAGTTGAGGGACTGTGTGTAGTTAGGGGAATTTAAAGTCTTAGACTTTGGGGAAATTTGCATTGAAGTAAGCTAATTTCTTATGTCCCCTCCCCTGCTCTTCCCAGAAGATGGGGAAAGTACAGAATATATTACATTTTGTTGTCCAGTCAGGATTTCAGAAAGGGCGATCAGAAAGAAATAAAATGAAAGTTGCCATAAAGAGGTCTGGAAAATATTAGGGTAATACTTCAGGTCACTAAAACTGGTTAGTGCTGCAAAAACAGCAAAATGAGAGGGGTCCTGGTGTGAATCACCCTTAAAAGGGAACATCTGAGGGAAGAACCTTTAAAAATGCATATTTAGATTGGTTTATTATGGGATTCTACCAGCACTGGGAACAAAGACTTGTGTGCCCCACTCTTTTTGCTGAGATAGCACAAATTCTTCCCAACAGTTACTGCAATGCAGAGCTGAGGTTGCTTTTTCTTTCAGCCTTTTTTAGCTTCTGTGAATGTTTCTTGATTTTAGGCAGGTAGAAATTCTGGTCCTGCTAAACTATAGTGAAAAGTTTTACTAGTATTGCTTATCCTGAAAGGGAACGGTATGATTGGGGAAGAGGGCTGTGTGTGTATGTTGTATAAATGGATGTTCTGGCACAAAGTGTCCCTGCTTGGTTGCTGTACTTGTTGGGAAGTACTAAATGATGATGGAAACCTCTATCTTTCTAACCAACCAATCAGTGCTGTGCTATACAGGCTGGTTAGCCCTGCTTGGCTTGTTCTTTCTTTTACATGCCAAAACTGTTGGCCAGGGGCTTTTAATGTTTTTTAAAGAATGAAGAACCTAGGAATCTTGGTTTAGACATGAAATCAAACAAAGATACAGACAGTGGCTTTGTGGTTTGTTGAGTTGATGTGGCTGGCAGGAAGATCCAAAAAGAGCAATCTACTTGCTCAAGCTGAATGCTATAATATACATTATTTGCAGAATTAAAATTTGTGTGGGGGAAAAAACTTGGCTTTGATACTACTGTTTAGTTCTAGAGGTCAAAATGTAAAAACTTGTCCTATATGTTACAATTGTAAATGCAGAATTTTTTCCTTTTCCAGAATTGCTCGCTTCTCAAATGTTTATCATCTCTCCATCCACTTCTCCAAGAACTTTGGTGCTGACACAACAAAAATCTTTTACATAGGCCTAAGGGGAGAATGGACAGAAGTAAGTGTGGGGATGGAGATAACAGATGAAAACACTAAATAAATAGATGTGGGGTATAGAAGCTTTTGTGACCTCAAAATGTTCTTATTAACAGATTCATGAGCAGGAGTCTCTGAGACTCTGGCATAATGTTCATACTTAAGAGAAGGTAACTGTTGTTTTATAATGTCTTTCCAGGCTAACCTTGCTCATCATGGCATCCTTCAGTTACCTTGGACTGCATGCCTTTAAAATTTGTGTTGGTTGGGAGTTCTGGGAGAGGTTGTCTTAACAAATCCGGATCATGTCAGCAAACCCCATGTTCCACCCTTAAACTTCCTGTTTCTATTTGGGTTGGATGATGAGTTTGAAGGAAACCTCTTTGAAAGTTACTTAAGTATCCCCCCTCCCAGGTTTTTGCCTGTCTGAATCACTGCTAGTCAAATATAGCACATCATAAAAGGCCTGTTTTCTTCATTAAATAAACTTCCCTGCTACCTCACTGGTTGGTTATTATCATGCCTCAAGAAATAACTGAATGAGTGTTATTTTAAGCCTGAATATGTCCTTCCAACTGCCATTTTCATGCACTTACAAATGGATTGGCATGAAGGTGCCTCAAGGTTTCCTGTTTTTAGATAAACCAGGATTTATTTTTCTATGTTGAGCTGGGAGATAAAGTGAAGAGTCTGAAGTAATTGTTAGAGTCTTCTGTTTTTTTCTAGCCTTGTCCCTTTTGCTGTTTCCTAGCCCAGTGCGTTTCAAGCTAAGCAGCCATTGGCAGGTGTTGACTCAAATTCTGCCATGTTGAGTAAATGTGTGAAAACATTTCAGTCAAGGAAGGTCCCATTCTGTCCTTGGAACGGCTGTTCTGATTTCACTGGAAATGTTCCAAGGTCAGAATGATTTATTCTGACTCATCAGAAGTGTTTTGTTCTTGAAAAGGATTTCTCTCCTGGGAAGACCAAGGTCACAATAGCTCATTTAGGCCCAGAATATGTTCAAAACGTGATCTTTGGGGATTGCACATCCCTAATTTTTAACCTGTGCAGACAACGCAGTGTGAAGGAATGACGTGTTATGAATTTAGGTGGGAGGGTTAAAAAGAGACAAGTTGCAAATTTCTCAAAAGAAGTACAAGTTATTCAGAATGTACGTGTAATGTATGTGTTTGTAAGAGTAGATGTAATGGTGGTTGGTCTCAGTGGAGAGGAAAATCAAATGATTGCTCTAGCTGTCCAAGATATACAAAGAGACCTCTGAAGAAATGTTCAAATTGTTTCTCTGCAGCCTCATCGACACGAAGTGACCATCTGTAACTATGAAGCAGCAGCAAACCCGGCTGATCACAAACTTGATCAGATCACACCACAGACACACTTCATTTCCTAACTGGGAAGGCTTGTGCAACGACAGAACACTGAGTAGACTTACAAAGATGTTGAACAGTTGAAGCTAAAAAGGATGGCGTGGCAGTTACTCTTTTTGCGATGTATGCATGTGGTTTTGGAAGCATTTGGTATCAAATGCTTGGCAGATAGGTACAAAATTACACTGTTGCGAAGGTCAATTGTGAAAGTTGATCTTAAAATCATTAACTCTTCCTGGACCTTCACCATGACTGTCTTAGCAATATCTTCTTGGCCCAGAATGTTTCTAAGATAGTGAATTTTTTGTTTAGTTGCTGCTATTTTTCTTGCTGGCATACATAAAGAGTGAGACTATCAGGTGGTGGCCCAATCTCTAGGACTTTCTTCTGGTTTTTGAATATAGTTTTGATATACGAAAATTAAATGTTCCTGGTGGGATCTTGGCTAATTTCCAGTGTATGTGATTTCTCCAGCATAATAGTGACATAATAGTGACCAAAGTGCTACAGGAATTGCCATAAGCATAATTTAATAGCTATCTTGCTGATGCATAACAATGTTGTCAGTTTAAAGCCTAGAAAATATAAAGATCTATGAATTTATCTTGTCTAAAATGCAACTTTTTGTAAATAAACATGGCAAAGAATCCCTTGAGTACTTCTTTAAAAAAAATCTGAGCTGAACCTTTTTTTAATGTTGAGATACATCATTGGTACAAAATAAATGTGGTAAAGTCAAAATGGTATAAAAAATAAAATTATTGTGGAATGCTCCCAAGAATAGGAGCATTTTGATCTGTAGTCTCTTAATTTTGTTCAATAAAAAAATCAGATTTGTGGACTATCAGGAGCTGTCCTTTCAAGACCAACCCCTAAACTATTAGGTAAATCTATTTAAATGGGTGGCCTTGCATATTGCTTAGCATGTGATTTGATTGGTTTCTGTCTATCATGTTCTGTTAATCTAGTTCAGAGTTTTTCAACAAACTAGTTGATAACTGTGCCCACTAAATTACCAGTATTAGTATTTCTGTTCTTGCCTTACCCCTTATGTTAGAGTGGTAACACTTTATAATATCCTAGAGCTGATTTCCAAAGTTCCCAAAGTATTAACTATCTCATTTTGTATTTTTAAAAGAAATACTTGCTGCAGTCTTCTTCAGCTAATGTTGGAAGTGGTTTATGAATATATACTTAATTGTTTTCATTTTAAACAAAGATGAAAAATCTTCCATGAAATTTAGCCAAGAGAGATAGAAGCTTCCTGCTACACACTTTTCTTTGAATTGTCCATATAGAGCAGGGTATTTCAACCTTGGCAACTTTTAAGACTTTAAGGAGTTAAAAGGCCACCCATCTTAAAGTTGCAGAACCGAAGGCTGAACCCTACTTGCCAACTTCATCAGTTATTAGACAAATGCCACCAGGGATTGATTACAAAACAGGACATCCTGTTCTCCCCACAGTGCACCATTTATGTGGATGTTGTGATTAAGTCTGACAAACATAGCCAGAGGCGTTTCCAGTTGAATTGCAAAAATAACAACCATGCCAACCTTGCTGTTTACCAGCCAGTGATGAACACTCAGTCAAAACCAGTTATTAACCTCTACGATTCATTACCAACTCGGGGGAGAGGGGGCAGAATCCCAAACTCTGTCTTTCGTGATGACAGTGGGACACGATACTGAAAGAACAAAAGCATCCCCAAAACGGAAGAAACCCTGGAGCAGGTAGACCAGGAGGAAGAGTACGGCCACAGAAAAAACGGCCGCAAGATGGCTGCGCCCTTAGCGGCCCCTTTTTCCGCTTTCCGTACAAGCCTAGGCAGAGCGTCACAATCTCTTTCCGGCCGGGCTGCTAAGGTCCCCGCCCACTTGTCTAGCGCGGGATTTGGTGGTGGCGGAAGTTCCGGAGGGAGGGAGGGAGGGGGGGGGGGGGGGAAGTGAGGGAAAGAAGGAGCGCGCGAGAGCTCGAGCCTGACTGAGTCCTCAGTCAGAAAGCCGGGTCGGAAGAGTCGGAGCCCAGAAGAAAAGAGGTGAGGGCGGGGAAGGTCAAGGCGGGAGGCGGGCGGAGGTTCGGCATGGGGCCGGGCTTCTCTTGGGTCCGAAACTGAGGAGGGAAGGGAAGGAAATATTGGGAAGGGGGCGGGGCAGGCTGCCCCCAAGGGCCGTGTGTGGCGGTTGGGAAGGCGGGGGGGAAGAGCGGCCTGAGGGGGATGAGGGCAGAGGCGTCACCGGATCCCGGGAAAGGGCCCCGAGGAGGCCTGGCGCGGAAACGGGAGAGCAGCCCGGGTCCTTGATGCTCCCGGGGGTGGGAGGAGATGGGGGTGGGGATGGGCGGGGTGATGCCTTTATTCGGGCCGACCGAACCCGGACAGGTAAGAGGTGTGCAAGCTTTCGAGCTCCCCGATTCTCTCTAGTCAGGTGAGACGCCGGCGAGCCTGAGGAAAAGGGAAGAAAGAGTGTCTGAGGGTGTTGGGGAAACTGAGGAAGGAGCCGGTGGGGGTGGGGGGAATATCCTGAGTTTATCCCGGGTCGCGTATGAACAGAGGCTCCCCTGTCCATTCGGCTTGGCTTTTAAGGGGAAGGTTTTTTGTTTTTGTTTTTTTTAATTCGGCGCATAAACCGGGAACGGGGGGTTTGTTCGTTCCGCAACGAGGAGAAAGCGTGTGGATGGATGAGGAAGGTCTAAAGAGTGTCCGAGAGGGCAAAAGACGGATATTTGGGGGATCCGGGCACTGGAGAGGCAAGGCAGGCCACACATCAGGGTGGGTTCTTGGGTTGCTGAGAGTCGGGTAGGAGGAGGAGGAGGAGGATCTCCGGAATTTGCAAGAGGTTTTTCTCCAAACTCTCACTTGCTCCGTTAAAAACTTTGCTTCGGAAATGGAACAAAGCAGGTGAGGCAGCTCTGGGCTTCCTTCTTGCAGCTGGGGAGGTGAAAAGGAACAAGAAATATTCAGCTGAAAGTCAGTGGTTTTCTAAGTTCTCATCGTGGCACTTGAGTGGCTAATGTATGTCTTGAATGAAGCGATTGTGATGCCTAATGGGCAGTGCGGGGTTTTGTTATCTGATGCTATAAAACAGATATTTAATCACAGGAGCAGTTTTAAAGTTGTGGGGCTATAGGAAGGGCTTTTCAGAAAAAAAAAACATAGAGCAGATTTCCAGGAGATTACTAGGCCATCACAAAAGGTATGATGATCGTATTTGACATCTCCAAATTTCATGAGGTATAAAAATAAAGGCTAGTCATAGATTGTGTGTAAATGTAACAACCAGTCTCTGTAATAAGAGGAATAAAATTATCTTATGTTTTATCTTTTTCTTAAAATCAGTTTATATTTAACAAACATATAACCTGTTTGAATGCCCAACAATGCTTGCAGCTAAGGAATGTGTGTGTGTGTGTGTATGTGTAGGGTAAACATTTGAATCCATCTGGTGTTCTTGTAATAAAGATAGTAATAGTTTTGGTTTTAAGTTATTTATAAATATAGATATTTAACTCATTGAATGTATCAAATCAAAACTTTCTGAACTTCCTAGTTTGGTGCTTTTGTCATGGTTATTATATGTGAGACTAGCCTTTAATGAAAATCATGTTATTTATAATATAGTTTATGATTTTGCTCATACATGTTTTTTTCATAAAGGTTGTATAGAAATATCCTTAGGACATGGGAACAAGATCTCTTTAGATTGGCATTGTAATTTTCATAGCAGTCATATGCTTCTAAAACATATATACAGGATGTGTACACTTTTTTGTCTGTTGCTATCATCTGATATTTGATTACAGATGTTCCCCATCTTGTGTAACACAATCTAATTTGAACTCAATTTTACAAAAAATGTTTCAATTTAAAAAAAAGGAAAATAACAAGTACATGTAGATTTCTATTCCATGTTTTAGGGGCAGTTGGCTGAATTTCAGCTTCAGCAGAAATTTGATTACATAAAGCCTGGATTATATAAGTTCATAAATACCTAATCCTGTATCTAAATATGGGGCATTGTCCAACTGGAATTTCTGTGACTGATAATGGTTATTGGTTTTGCCTTCCATGACTTTGAGCAGTTCTCTTTCCAAATTTGTAATTTGGGCATTAGCCATTTATTCCCACCTAAGGCTAATAGCTCTTTATTAAGAAATATTTTATACATTATGTTGAACAGGCAAAAGATTGATAATAGTAAGGTGTGGGGAAAGTTTAAGAGGAACTGTTCCTCTTTCCATTTCCCAAATAACAAAATTGGTGAATCAAACCATTTATGGTATCATTTGATTTGTGGTACCCCATTTATTGTATATGAAACAATTTGCAATTTGTTGACTTCTGTATTAGTGATTTTTTACATTAAAAGGACCAAAGGAAGAGAAATCAATTTTAAAATTATCTTTGATTATAATTAAGAAAATTAGCATCAGCTTATTTTCAAGAGGAGTTTTATCTTACCATAATTTCAAGGAAATCTTCTCGATGTCACCTTTGGATGAATAAAAATGATTATATATTTGCAGCCTAAAAATATAATAGCTTGTTGGCGGATAAATATCAGTAACATAGTACCATCGGTAACATAGCCACGAAAAAATATCATAAACTGATGAATTGACTTTCAGGTTCTTTGGAAGTTTGCTCACTCTGTGCTAGATCTAAGATCTAATGAAGAAGCTAATTGTTTTAGAATTTCTTGGATTAGGAGTTCATTGGGGCCTTGCAGCAAACTCATCTCTGAGAGCTGTCATTTCTGAGCAAGCTTTATTAATATTAGTTTCCTTTTGTTAACAGGCCATGTAGTTGAAATTTTGTTCACAATTGTGAACTGCTTCACTTTTCATGCAAAGTTGGGTAAAGAACTATAATGGTTTTTTAACTCATTTCATTCTCATTCTAATAAAGGAAGGTACTACGGAAGAACCATGCAGTGTTCATGCCAAGTTCCTTTTCCAGGTTTTTTGTTTTTAACTACTGTATGGCTAACAAACTTGCTCCAGAATCAAACTGACTATGAGGGAAATTCTTTACTGCCTTTGAACATGAATTTATCTGATCTCTTTAAAAAGCCAAGCCAATTAGTGACTGATGCTTCAGTTTGTGGTAACAAATTTCAGAAGCTTAATTAAAAAATATTTTGTCAAGTTCTCTTTCTTGTGTTTCCAAAGAGATGTCTACCTTCTCCATTTACATCTTTTCTGTTTTTTTAGCAAATGGTCTTAACCTTTTTTTGACTATGTTTTTTGTGACTTAAATATAAATCTGTATCCAGCCTTTCCACCAGTGATTCTGATCAGGAATTTATTTATTTGAATTTATAGTCAAGGACTGGAAGGAAAAGAGAATGGTAGTAATTCAATCTGGTGGATAGAGATTGCAGCAAATATTCAGAGTTCTCGTAACTTTGATTCTTGATATATAGGTGTCTTGGAATCTGGAGGTTTTTTTCTGACTTGTCAAAAGGATAATTATTAAACTTGTTGCCTCCTGGACTTTCTTTTGTTAATCAGACAATGGCATGAAATAGAAACTAGAAAAATATGGTTCTATCTCTATGAGATTGTGAACATACCTGCAATTTTGTACCCCAGTCTTCTCAGCTTCTTGTCATCCATTATTTGACATACTAGGCTAATTACCCTGTATAAAGTCAGGCATAATTAAATTCTTTGTTTCACAGCAGAATTAAGTGTACCTAGCACGTAAAGTTTTTCCTTGATTGAGTTCATAATAACTTTCTTTTTAATTTGCAACTAGGCTTCAGAAATACTATGGTTGGTCATACAGTTAGTTAGATGTTTAGATTGCATTAGGCATTTTTAACCAGCTATGAAAACCTTCCCAAGGGCCTGGGATAAGCAGATATTACTATTCAACAATATTAAGATCTTTGCAGGATGTAAGCTATTCCAAGTAACACTGCCTTTTTCAATTGCCTAATGGTGGTTTTGTCAATACTCTGATGGTGTTCTAGTGGTACTCCAGATGTTTTAAAATTATACCAAAGGGGCCTATTATTATTGGTACTACTTTTGTTTCTTCTGCCACAAATAGTTTTGCTTTTATTTGCAGATCTTTATATTTTATTATTTTCTCCAGTTATTTCTCTTCTCTTTTGCTATCTCCAGATGTAAGACTGTCCAAACTTTTTTTTTGTCTTGGTCCCAATAGTTCTTGCTTGGGGGCAAGAAGTATTTCTTGCAAGTATTCCAATGCATCTTTACTCTTACATTGTTATTCCATTGTTTGTAATCAGCTTGTAGAATTTTCTTGCATCAGCTAACTCGGTGGTTCACTGTTTCTTCAGCTTCTTTGCAAACATGGCATTTGCTGGGTATCTTCTCAATGCTGGATTTATGCATTTGTTTTTAAGGCTTGGTCTTGTGCAACCAGAATTAGTCTCTCTTGTCTCTTTCTTCAACGTTCCTGTTTCCAGCCATTGCCAGGTCTTGCTGTTATCTACTTTACCTGCTCTTTTTAATGTACCGGTCATAGAATATTTTGTCATCTGTTGTATCTCATGGGCAGTTTTGTTTCTTTGTGTTCAGTAAAGTCTTCATGTTGTACTAGATTCAGTGCACCTTCTTCACTGCCCTTCAGCTATTCCAGTGCCCTTTTTTTATTCAACTGGTGTATTTGCAACATTACACGCCTACCTGTGCTCCTTGGAAAGTACAAGTGAACATTGCTGCACAGATGAAGGGCATGATTCATTATCATTATTTTTCCGGTCCTTCTATCCAGTGCTTCTAGTTCAGCTTGAAGCAGTCCCCTATTCCAGTTGTGTATCTAATGAGTAAAATTGCTCAGGTTTTAATTGTGATGATAGCATTTCCTCCACTGAGATTGAATTTTAAGATCCAAAGATTTTCCACCATTTCTGCAGTTATTACAAGTTGCTTTTGAAATCTCACCTTCCAAAGGATGTTCAACAATATGTGAATTGCTTGGCATGCATATTTTTGATACCTACTTTGAGATTAGTAATTAGAACTTCAAATCAGAATAGACCTAGCCAAGGGACCATTTAGTGAATCTCTCACAATCCCTGTTACCACACCATTCATATTACAGTTAGAAGAGCATTTTATTGTATTGTGTTGGAGTTGGGTGGAAATTGGAAATATGAACAAGTTGCCTAAGAAGTGACTTGTCCCTTAAAAATGTTTTAATTTGAGTTGCTTGTGGGTCTATACCAATGATGGGAAATTAATTTTTCCAAGGGGCACATGAGAAACTGGGACTGTTATGGAGGACGAACCAATAAAGCTATGAAGGCACACAGGCCTGCATGCATGCACATATGTAAATTTTTTAAAAAATTGAAGTCACCTTCAAAATAAAAGCAATCCACATGAGCCAGATAGGGAGAGCCAAAGGGCCCAATATGGTCTATGGACTGTAAAATGCCCAGGCCTGGTTTATACTGTAATAAGAGAAAGATTTGGGCTTATAATAAAGGTAAGGAACATTGGAAGGGGAAGCTGGCTGGTAAAGAATGTCACCAGTGCTTTGCATTGTAGAGAAAACTGAAACTGGGATTTCTTCTGCAGACCTAGAAGACTAGTTCTTTTATTTTATTTATCCTGGAAAAAGTGATTTTCAGATAGATTGTCCAGTTTCGGAGTTTTCCTTTCCAGTGTTGTTTTCCTGGCTGTGATATTTTTCTCTTCTTCTGACTGTGTCATCAGCAATAGAACCAGAATGTAGTATGATTGCATTGCAAGAGACAAGTCACAGAAGACTTTCCCATGGCAGAAAGAAAATGGCCTTTCTGATCAAGCCGTATGCTGTAGATAATATCTGCGGTAGTTACTGTTTTTTCTTCATTAGCTACATCAGTAGTAGTGCTGTGGTGATAAGGAAAATACATTTGAGTTCTTCCTGCGCCTGGATTGTTATCCGCATTTATATAAACAGCTGGGCCCTTTACTTGGTGGGCATGAGAGAAAATTTTGTTTTAATCTTTCAGTCGTTGGGGTATATGTAACTTTGTTTAAATGAACAGTCCTTAAACTGTCCTAAATAAATAACTTCCTCTTGTGTTGTTTCTCAGGGTTCTGTATGGGATAAGAGCCTCTCTTCAAAGTGGGTAAAACCTAAGTTTGGAAGTGACAAGTGAGTTAAAGGATGGAGTAGCGCCTAGTTTGCTACTGGTTAGTAGCGCCTAGTTTGCTACTGGTTTCAGAGTGAGAAAAGCTTTTCACAATGATGGCAAGGTCATTGAGATGCAATACTCCAAAAGTGAAAGCATTATAGAGAATTGTACATTCATGTTTTGCCAATAGAAGCTTCTTAGCAATATCCTTATTGCTCTGAAAGAAGCTGAGGCTGTTGAGGAAGGTGCTAATTTATTTTCCTTCGTACTGAATATATAAAATTATTGCTCAATTCACTTGACTAATAATCATTTATTACTTCCTTAAGTGTTATGTGAGGGGGGAGAGTTCCTATCCGAGACAAAATGTTGCTGGAACTCTGATCATTATCATTTGAAGATTCATTTATCATTTATATTTTCTATTAGTTTTCCTTTTTTAAATTATTATTTTAGCTGCGGACAAATGTAACTTTCTCCAGCTCCAATCAAAGTCTACGGTTGAGTGGCTCCCTTAGCTTATTCATCAACTAGATTTTCTGATTATTATTGCTAGCTAAAGGCAGGTTCACAGAATTGGTGAAAAATAAATTACTGCATGTTGGTTTTCTTTCTTTAAACGGTGGTCAGTGCTTAGTTTAGGGGTAGAAGGCTTTGGAATATGGGCCACTTGGATTGTTATTTTTTGCCAGGAAGTCACACTACAGTGGTTAGACTTTTACAAGACAACAGATTGTTCACTATAATGGGTAACTTAGCTAAAAATCTGGAAATGGCACTTATGGTGAATTTTCCATTGTAATTCCTGATTCTTTGGGGAGCATTAGAAGTAAATGCTGCCTGAAGGCTGGCTCTTTACAGATTATATTTTACACAAGGAATGAAGTGTGTGTGTTTTAGTCCTGCCATAGGCATGAAAGCTAGCTGGGTGATTTTGGATCAGTCCCTCTCTTTCAGCCCAACCCGTCTCACAGGATTGTTATTGTGGGGAAAATCAAAGGCAGATGTATTTGGTACATGGGCTGCTTATTGTAGCAAAAACCATGGCTTGCAGAACTTGGGTAATATCTTCTTATTGTTATTGACTCAGGATCCCTCCCCCACCCCATTTTACATTTTGCATTTGTGTCTTATTGGTCTGAGATAATGAGGAAAATGAAATGAAATTAGTCAACTTAGATTTCAGTGGGGTTTTTTTACCTCCTAGCATACTGTTCTCCTTTTCCTGTTTATCTCCCATTAAAATAAAAGGCTGTTCTTTCTGTTTGTAATACTCTATGAGGTTTTTACAGCTACAAATGAAATAAGCTAAAGAATAGTTGAAAACATTTGGAAGTAGTTTGTGTTTCTAAGATAAATCTGGAAAGAGGGAAGCAATAGCTAACACTTGGCAATCAATTCTTAGTACATTCTCATGTACACACGCACAGGCACAGAGTCTTATATATTCTAAACATATATTTCTTAGTGTAACTATGTCTAAATTTTTCTTTTGCAACAGCAGTTTCATTTAGTGTTCATTCTGTGTATACCTAATTTACAATTTATAGATATATACAAGAAGTGGGAAAATAACCTTTAATAAAATACTTTTAAAAATTCTTGAGAGCAATTCAGCAAATGAATTACTTGTCTAAAAAAATGTTTCCCAATCTGAAACTGCCAGTTGGCCTTCAACACACAATTCTCAACCAGCATGCTGGCAAGTGTACTAATATAAGAAAGCTAATCTAAATATACAGAACATGTAATGTTTAATACCTATGACTTATCTTAATCCCAGCATGTAGGTAGGTCATTGTCCAGTTGCTGAGAAAATTAAGACACCTTAGAGTCCTTTTCCCATTATTTTTAATATTCCTATACAAAGTAAAGCTGTTGTTGCCCCAGCTGAGTGGGGTTTTAAAATATTTACTGGTTTGAGCATCAGGTGCAAATTTTGCTCCTAGTTTTAGGTAGCACAATTCTGTTTTAGCATATAAAACAACTTTTAAGTTAAAAAGAGTTTTAAGAGTATCCTTGTGAAATTGTTAAAACATGCTGTTATGAGATATAAAGAATAAAATATAAAGTATTTTTAATACTTTAAAAATACGGAGTTGGATTTTGGTATGAACTATGTTAAGGCTTTGTGAAGCACATTTTCTAGAAAAGCGCTGTCTTCAGAATAATTGACTACAGCTTATTTTTTTCTGATCTAATAGCCAAAGACAGTCTTTAAACATGAATGTTCTGGGTTACAGATGTTACTCAAAAATGCTGATTTCATTAAAAATGAAAAAAATAAAAATAACTTTAAAAGAGCAAACCCCCTGTTCTTCATTGTTTATGAACTAAGAGAAAACAGAAGGAGTTTGAGAGTGAACTTGCAGGGATTTGATGGGAAGGTATGAATCTTCTGGATCTTAAAGTGGTTTACTTACTTACAGCTCTGCTATCAGTTCCTAAAAAGTAAAAGCTGTGGAGTATTTCTTACATTGAAATTTACAGGAAAATTGTTTAGAATAGACATTTCACTTTCAAAATTCCCAACCATCCCCAGAAGTCATCCAGCTCTAGGAGGTTGATTTAAATAGATTAATTGGTTGTGTGTTTCTCATCCTCTGCAGGTGTGAATTGTATAGTTGTATGTGCGGTAACAACATGTCTGTCCCCCTCCTTGCTGATGCTGTGACCATTTCAGGGACAGAGCGGGAGACTGCAGCGGTAAGGGCAAGATGTTTTGGGCTTACCATCTGTTGGCATCCAGAAAGCTTAGGGAATTAATGGTTTTTTCTCCTTTAGCCCATCCTCTCTGCTGATACTGAAGGCAAAGGGATTGTTCTCCCCATAATGGGGAGGCTATTTCCAAGAAAGGAATGCTGCCGGTGGTAAGAATTGGTACGCTTTTCTGGAGGCTGGGGGACTACAGAAGGAGATCAGATCAATTTCCTCCCTTTCCAATAAATTGTAAAATGTTGTTTGTAGGACCTCTGCAAAATCCACCCCGTTACCTCTGGCAGGTAATTAGTCCAATTGTATCCTACTGTGTTGCCCTCAGTGCTGTTCTCTTGCACTAATTAGGTAATAATTGACTAAAACCTGCTTCCTCCCCTCCCCCTCCAGTTGTGGGGCTGGTGTGGTGAATTATTGTAGTAGGTAACACTGTACTGTGGCACTGAACCAATGCTACAAAACTCCAAAACTACTTTAATTTTCAGTCCCATTGTTGGCCTTGCCTGCACTTGTGCCATCCTAACTCACTGAAAATGTATTGCTTGCAGTGTGGAAGAGAGAATTTTGCTTTCCCTTTTCCCAAGATTTAAAGTCTAAAAGTCAGCTAGAACAGTAGTAAACACCCAATATGTTCGCCAAGATTAGCTTATTTTATATAATTCTGCTTCCACAATATAACCTGAGGAGTGTGTGAATAGGAACATAGCAAGTCTTGGCACTGAAATTGTGTCTTCCTGACTATTGTTAGTACTATCGAATCTGCAGAGTCTTCCTTTTCATTTTTCAGCATCTTAAAATTTGGCCTCTCCAAAACACTCCAAGATGCACATATAGTAAACCATGTATACTGTGTGTCATATTCTGCTCTTGTATAACTATTGCGCAGATTCCACAAATTTGTGAATCATGAGTGACTACAAATTCAGCAGTACAATTCCAGCACTGGGACCATATCCTTTTTCTAGAATATTATTTAAATCTACATAACACACTTAAAATGAAGTTATAACTTTGATTTATTGAGGGAATGGGTATGAATTTTTGGAGTGTTCTCTCGCTATTGGAACTCATGGGATTTTAAATGATCAAAATGCCAACTTCCATCTACTGTGGAATTCCATTGAGAAATGTTAAAATATTGAAATGCTTTCTTCAAATATGTATTGATCGATATCAAAGATGGGAGGGAAAATGATTATAGAATTTGAAGTATCTTTGGCAAACAACAGCAGTAAGAGAAGGAGTGGATTATATGAAGAATAAAACTCAGGCAGTAAATGATTTTCTACCCCAGAGATTTGTGACCAAGAATGGGGAGAAGGACCCCATAAAATACAAACGTTTCTGCTCTTCTGCCACAATATTAGAATCCACAAAAATTTCCATTAAAAAAAGGTGATCACACTCAAAAGTGATTGAACCAAACTAGATCCCAAGATCTGTGCTGTGAGTAAAACTTGATAACTCTCTGTGGGTTCCTGGAAATGGCTCCTTTGCCTTCTGGGATTTCATCAGGCACTGCCTACTGCTTCTACTTCTACTTCCCCGGTCTTTAGAGAACTTATTCTCTATAGTAATAGAAGCTTCACTTATCAGGAAGCTGAATTCTGTGCTCCTGCTCTGGTAGAATCACTTTATATCTTGCTTTGGTGGAAAATAAGAATTGAACTAGGAAGGAATCAGGAAGAAACCGGCAATGGCAACCTGTCAGATTAACTCAAAGATGGCAAGAGCTTTGGCCCAGCTGGCGCCATATAAGGAGAAAGCTTTCTTAGTTAGGCATGAAAATTCCAAATGAAGGAACTTTGCTCAGTTAGTGAAATGTAATATTGACAGATATATTTGCATATTTTTTTCCCAGTGAATCATCTTGTTGAGGGGAAGACATGATAGGATGGTAACTTGGTCACAAATGGATTCAGTCACACACATCTTCTTTTTCATCATTTTCTAACTACCTTAGGTTGAGTGATTCCTGCTTCTTCCCTTCTGCGTAATCTGTTTTTGTTTTGCAACTAATTAACCTCACAGAATGCTTCCTGATTACAGTAGCTTTGCTAGACTTTCTCACTTGCTGAGCTGGGTAATGTGCTTATTTTCTACTTGACTTTGCAGGTCATTTTTTTGCACGGGCTTGGTGACACGGGGTGAGTATTGGGGGAAGCCTGGGCTGTATACCTGTGCTGGTACTGGGAGTTGGGGAGGCAAAACCCCCTCTGCATTCATAAACCTGGATTGGGAAATCAGGAGCTGAAGGTAAATGTGAAATGTTGGGATTGTTGCCAACATAAGGAGCAGAATATTAAAGGATTGCAATGAGAATATGGTGACTTTGGAGTTGAAAACCTAGTTTTTGCATAGAATAGAACCTAGAAAGCTGTTGGCCCATCTAGTGTAGGAGTTAGCAACTGTAGGCCAATGCAGCTCCCCAACAATTAATTTGATTTAAAAATGGACAAATTTTGTGGCATTTTTCTTTGTTGGCTTGTTTAAAAATTAAGGGTGAAGAGCAGGAGTCTCATGGGAGATAGAGCAATCCCATTTCCTCATTTACATCAGTTTAACTACAAAAACTCCTACTCACGTAGCAGTCTCCTGTCCATCTAGCAGTTTGAAAGCATGCAAACGTGAACAGATAAATAGGTACCACTTTGGTGTAAAGGTAACTGCATTCTGTGCACCTGTGCATACAGTCATGCTGGCCACACAACTACAGAAAGATCTTCAGACAATCCTGGCTCCCTCGGTTAAGAAACTGCGGTGAGCACAGCTCCCTAAAGTCAGATACAAGAAGACAATGGAAACCTTTACCTTTACTTTTAACCGCAAAAAAATTGATGAGAGGAACTGCACAGATTGGGAAAGTATGCGGAGAGTGTGAGAGGAGTGGGTTGGGAAGGGTGTACAAGAGGTGCTGCATGGGTCAAGGAGGGTTGAAACTATGCAAAGGTGAAAGAGGGTATACGAGAAGTGCCATGTGGTTGTGGAAGGGTACGCAGGGGTGCGTGAGAGGCACTGCTTGAGTTGGTGAGGGTGTATGAGTGGCTGGGGCAAGTACACAAGGGCTGCGGGAGAGTGGAAACTTACTCCAGGGACTTGTGATATTCCCCGCTGGCTTCCTCGTGACTTTCTGGGGATGCTGGCATAGAAGGCTGCTAATGGCAGTCATGTGATCGCGGGGTACTTGGCAAGCAACTGATAGTGCAAAAGGCTTGCCAAGCACCCGTATCACAGTCATGTGGCTGGGGGCGGGTGCTAGGATGGCTGGAACTCTGAATACCATTTATTCAGCGCCAATGTAACTTTGAAGAGTCTGAACAAATGGTCATAAGTCAAGAACTACTTGTATATCTGAATGTTGCCCTGATATTGGGATATGATCTTCTCTCCCAAGCTGTCCTCACCGATGCAATGTTTGAGTAATATATTGAATCTTTGGCACAGATCCTTATCGCAGCTGGCAGATATGAGCATATTCCCAACTGCCTTTTTTTTTTAAGAAAATTGAGCCTCTGAGATGAGGCAGTGAAAAAATATTTGCCTTTTCATGTTTATGTTGGGTGGTGATGGGACCTGCTTTCTTTTGCCCTTCCCCTTCAGGCACAGCTGGGCTGATGCTCTGTCTTCTATCCGGCTCCCTTACGTGAAATACATCTGCCCTCATGCGTAAGTATCACTGTTCTGTCTTTAAAATGCAGGTTGAAAAGCACTGAACTTCATTTCCAATTTGCTGGTTTTCCTTCAGGGGTGAAAACATTAAAGCACTTGTTCTATGATATTAATGCTGTCACTGGCCATACCTCTTGTATCTTTTGGGCAGGGCAGAGGGATGAAATGTGGCTACTGCACTGAAAAGAGTTTCCTACCATTGCTCTTCAGTAAAAAAAATTCCGCCCTTCATTCCATGGCTTTCAGGACAGTGTACAATCAACATAACCACCATTACAAAAAACACAATAACCTAGTATTGCCCACAAAGAGTGACTCTATAACAATAACGTGCTTGGATTCTCAAATATTGGATTCTGAAATATTCTGCCTAATACATTAGGGCATCCTGGGAAGAACTTGATGCAAATGAAGGCAAGCACTTGCTAAAGACGTGGCAGATGCCACTTCACATTGTTATGTATATAGTGATAATAATACCTTCAAACCTGCCTATTCCAGGTTCTTTTATCCACCAATAGGTGGATAAAAATGCCAAATGCAGTCTAAACATCTGGCTGATTGTGCAACCAACCATAACAGTAATAATAGATATTTGTAGCCACCACTATCTTAAAACAGTAAAAGACCAAGAGACTTATTCACCATAATCTTGTGGTACACCAGGACTTAATCCAAAGATAGAAAGCTTGATAATGGACATGGCTAGAGGTTGCTATTTGAAAAGAGGGTTGTAAAATCAGGAGAGAATAGTATCAGCAAGGGAGAGAACCGCAGGTTGCAAGCAAAGTATAATAAGCCAAGGTGTTACATGGCTTAGAAACTGGCATATACTTGTGATATCTGCTTTATTGAATGTCACTCTATCAGGCTTTCCCATGCTTCCCAACTTCTCAAAATGTGTAGTTCTTACAAGCCTGGAAACTTACGATTAAAATACTGAGCTATAGCTATTTTCCCTTTGACCCTATTGCCTTTTTCTACAACTTCCATTTTTTTTCACTCTTCTTTAATAGACAGAAAAAAACAGACCTATTCTGACCTCTTTTAGGCTTGAGTTCACTGGCTGGAAGTATGTGCAAGGGGTGACATAATTTGTGCCAAGAAGTTTCATTAATAATTTATCCTGATTATGTATGCTTAGGCATTGTGTTCTTCCTATTAAGAGCTACTAGGGATCCGGAATTTGGACCATCACAAAGCCCCAGCTGAGCCCCATAGCCATGTACAGAATTCCAAATGTGAGACCCTGGTAGCAACTGAGGTTGAGACTCATCCACTGAAATAGACAGGAAGTTGATACACCAAATAATGAGCAGGAATGCATTTCCCACCTGAATATCTCCAAATCCTGAACAGGCAAACATCAAGGCCAGAATGAGTTGGGGCCTTCAAAGGGACTGCACAGTTCTGCTTCATCCTCACATACACATAGTAAATAGGAGAGATGATATCGGAAAGTATGCAGAACTGTGCCTGAACCTACCACCAACCCTCTTGCCCTTCTCGATGTTCATCTCTTACCTTAGAACATTATCCCGGTGATTTTTGCAGCACATTCTGTGGCTGATTCTATGCTATCTTGCTGTCAATCCTGTTGCTTGAGCTTCTGTGATGGGCAGTAGGCAGATAGTCCCCAGTTCCAAAGCCAGTTTTGCTGAGGGCAGAATCAATATACAAAGAAATGGCGGAGTGTTTCTAAGCTGCTTCCTAGCAAAAGCAGCAAGCCCAGGATCAAGTCAGTCCCCTAATGGTCAGATCCCAGGATAGTTTACTAGGCAACCACATCAAACACTGCTTGGTTGAGCAGGGACTCTAAATGAAATAAAGATGGGAGAAGGAGAGCAGCTTTGCTTTCTCTTGCTTTACAAACCTGATCTGCCTGCAAAATGGCTTCCCAACTGCCAGTTTTATGGGAAAGGTCTAGACTGTAGCATTGATCTAAGCCGCTCTTGTTGACTTAGTGCACTTGAAGAATTCCAAGAGTGTTGGTGTTATTTTTTTAAACAGTATATTTTCATATTTCTCTATCATTTTTAATTCCTTATCCTTTTTACCTGTGGTCCTACTAGAATTATACCCCATCTTCCGTCTCTCTTTGCAGACCCAGGATCCCTGTCACTCTCAACATGAAGATGGTTATGCCCTCCTGGTTAGTATTAAATAATATTCCGTGGATTATTAGCAGCCAAATTCATCTTCTGCCCTATTTTCAGTTTCGTGTGCAGCTGGAATTGCCCTAGGAGCATTGGGAAAAGACCTCGGAGAAGTGGTGAGGGAAAAGATAGTAGACTAATGGGTTGGTGCAAGTTTGGAGAGAATACATGGGGTTTACTCATGGAAGTATTCATTTAGTAACATTAAGTATGTGGTGTAAATATAGTCTTCTTACACAGCCTTATTATAATCTTAGCAGAGTTGTATTTATTTTCACTTGTTCTTTTTGGCCTTTTTTCAAATTGCTGCCTGCTACAAAGATTCAAATTAAGCTTTCTCCAAACCGCTACCCTCCAGATATGACATAAATATCATGACATGCCCAGCTGTGGGGAGCTGCAGTCCTAATGTTTTCGATCAAAAATTGTTGTAGCTATTAGTTTCAATTCTGGGCAGTGACATGGACACTATTCTCACTCACATATCAGATGAATCCTGATTTTAGACCTGTAATCCGGCATGCCTTCACCCAAAAGTGGAACGGAGTCGGTCATTTTATGCCTCTTAAGGTCTGGTGGAATGGGAGTCAGATGGAAGATGCTGAGGGGTAGACAGAATTTTGCCCCTATTCCCAAATGCTGCTGCTGGAGTTCCATATAGCCAAGTTACCACTGCACCATACTGCTATTATGACTCACGGCTTTCACGTGTCTTAGAAGATCATGACAGTGATGGTCTTTCCTTTTTTCTCCCCATTTCAGGTTTGATTTAATGGGGCTAAGTCCGGATGCACCAGAAGATGAAAATGGCATTAAAAAAGCTGCTGAGAACAGTAAGAGAGGTGTTTCCTTGGGCATCTTCCGAGTCGGCCCACGTTTCTCTTAATCAAAATTTCCAGTGGTTGGAAACCAAGAAAGGCGGGTTGGGGTCATTTCCTAAGCCTAAAAAGAACTCTGAACAGTTTCTGCTTTTGCAGTTACTGCCTAATTCACACAAAAAGTAAAGCCAGCAAAATGGCCTAGAAAATTTAATTCCTTGTACATAGCAGAAGCCAGGTGTCGAGATTCTCCAGCTGGGTGAACACTGGGCCTCCTCTGCAGGCTACTTTTTGAAGAACATAAACAGTCCTTGGGAATGTGCAGACATGCAAGTCATAAATCTGAATAGAAAAAACAAAATAAATCTTTGGGGCTTGAGGGGGATCCAATTTGCCTTGGTGCATATATAACCTTTCTTTTGGGGAAAAAAAAATGCCTTTATTAAAATGTCAGACCCATATCTCAAATAATTTACATCAAGGTTGGGCAATTCAGATGATCCTGGTGAACACACACGGTCTCCTTTTTGTGGCCTGTGCGTCACTGACAGATTATTCTGATTAAATTCAATATTGCAATTGTTTTTGTTTGGGGCTATGCATATGGAATTAAGCTGCACTTCATGAGCTGACTTCATTTAAAAAAAAAAGATGAATTCCATTAGAGCCCCTTCCTAAGGAAAGAGCCAATGCTGTGGCAATAATATACAGAGTGGAATTACAGTATCTTCCACTGTTCTTGGAGCCCAGGAAAAAAAAAAAATTGTAGAAGGTTGCAATTCCTGACTGCCAAAAACATTGCCTGCCACGTGGTATCTGTGGCTCTTTAAAGCAGTCTGCCTCTACCCTGCTGCCTCTTTGTCTGTGGGCCATACGTTCTGGGAAGTGCACATACCTGGAGGGCCCCAGGTTGGGGAAAGGCTTCTCCTAACTGGAAACTCTCCCAGATCTAAGACAGAGATAAGGGGACAGAATCTGGGCTATTCTCCAAGAGATCATGTCATTTCCCCCTGAGCTGCAGCCCTTCTTTGATCAATGGAAAGGTTAACGGTGGCAGGAAAGAGAGGATCAAGGAAGCCTCGAATTGCACACCTGGCACTTTCCCAATCTCTGCTTATTTCATGTGTTCGTATAAAGGGGGGGGGGGGCAAGCAGGCATCCCTCTACTGTTTACGTTGCTCACTGCAACAAACCAGAATTTATATGCTGCATCGTAATAATAACTAAGGAAAAGAAGAGTTATCCAATAGGCAAGTAAGAGGAACTAAAGTAAAAACATTGAATGAAATATATGTAGTCTATGAAAGAAATGCCTTTCTAAAAAAAGGGCTTCTCCAGCTGGCAAATTGCTGTCTGAGGAAATCACACAGCCTCCCAGGGAGTTCTAAAATTCATTGTGGCCAGAGAGTAGTTCCTTTCTTCAAGGCTGGCTGAAGAAGAGAGTCACAGTTCTGCCCTGTGTGGTCATTTGAAACCGCTTCCTTCCTAAGGCAAATTCCAGAGCTGTTTTGCAAAACCAAAGCAGTTGTAATGCTGTGGACTTTTGCACCCGCCCTCACCATCTCCCATGGTTTCTTACAGCATACTCCCCGTTTACTTGCACCTCTGTTCTTTGAGCGCTGATTCTGTAGCTCCTTCGGCTTGAGTTTTTAAAAAGGGGGCATTTCTAACAGAGCGAACCATGTTATGAATCCATATTAGCAGACCTGTTTGCTTCATGACCACTTCCAACTCTGTGCTAACTTGCTGCCAAACTGAATGTCTCTTTTCTCTTTCTGCATTCCAGTTAAAGCTGTAATTGACCATGAAGTAAAAAATGGGATCCCAGCCAACCGAATCATCTTGGCAGGCTTTTCACAGGTGGGAACTGATGGGGCACGGAGGAGGCAGTTCTCTATGCAGACTAAGAGTAGGTCTGGTTTCTGGGGCACCTGCAAAGCCCCCTTGACAGGGAATGGAGATGACTAGCTTCCTTTAGGACAGTATTTCTCAGGCTGGCTGGGGAATTCTGGGAGTTGAAGTCCACATATCTTAAAGTTGCCAAGATTAAGAAACACTACTTTAGGATGTCCATCTTGACCACATAGCTGCACCAAAAATGGAAGAAAGCAGGGTATTTTTTTTGGAAGCCCAAACTTGCTCCAGAAGGCGTTATTTTGAGTCCTGCTGCTTATTGGAAAAAACACATGTGCAGCTTTGTTAGGCCAAGTGTCAACCATGCTGCAAAAAGAGGCAGGATCATGTGGGGGGAAAAAGAGAACTGCTCAAAAATTAAATTATTGTGATGTAATAGTCATGTTAATTAAAGAATTGGAGTGGCACGGTGGCTCAGCTGTTAAGACACTGGGCTTGTCAGCTGGAAAGCCAGCAGCCCAGTTTTGAGACCAGGCTACAGGGTGAGATCCTGTCCTCGCCCCAGCTGCTGCCAACCAAGTAGTTGGAAAGCATAAAAATGCAAGTAGGAAGGGAAGGTAACAGTGCTCCATGACATCATGTTGGCCAAATGAGTGCAGAAATATCTTCAGACAATGCTAGCTCAATGGCCTTGAAACGAAGATGAGCATCATATTGCCAGCAATAACTAGCAGAGTAAAATCGGCAGGACTCCTTTCCTTTTATCTTAATTAAAGAATTGAGTTGTTTGATTACAGAGCCGTAAAAAGGGAGTTCTAATACAAGCATAGCACTTCATAGTTTATACTTCAAAGAGGTTGGAAGGGAATGTCAAGCTGTATTTATATCTCTTGAATAGTCCATGGATCTCAGAAAAAAAGATAAAATAAGCTTCTAATTCTTAAGATTCTGGGAAACATGCATTCACACTTTGCAATAATGTCTGCCAAGCTCCTCTAAGGTAGATAGAGTTGGACATTTAGAATGGATTTTTAGCACTCTGTTTATTTGTTTTCTGTTTCCTTTTGGGGCAAACAGTCTCTTGTCAAATACTCTCATTCAACTTCCCCATAGAATGGTTCAACTTGCTGACAGCTAAGGATTTTTTCACGTGTGAGATTCTGATAAGCAATTAATTTGAAGGGAAGGGTTTCTCGAGGCCTGCATTAGGGGAATGGCATTCTTTGCTGTGAAATGGGGGGAGCACCAGAGGAGGAGATTGGTTTGGGGAAGGACGTTTGACCCTTACTGGAATAAATTCCGACCAGTTTCTCTGATGTCGTTGTACTTCAGGGGGGCGCCCTCTCCCTCTACACAGCGCTCACTTGCTCTCACCAGTTGGCTGGCATTGTGGCCCTCAGCTGTTGGCTCCCCCTGCACAGGACCTTCCCTCAAGTAGGTGGCTTAACCTCTCTTTTGGAACTGGGGTGGGGGGAGGGGGGGAGAGTTGCATGCTGGGCCAAGGTCAGTTGGATGGAACCACTCCTTTGCAACGACCATGCCAAGATACCAACCTCTGTTCGTGGATGATTCACAGCTTACCCTGCTGCTGCTGTTTTTCCCCCTGATGACTGCAGGCAGCAAGTAATGGTGTGAACAAAGATATCGCCATTCTCCAGTGCCACGGTGAGATGGACCCAATGATCCCAGTGCGCTTTGGAGCTCTCACTGCAGAGAAGCTGAAGGGGGTGGTGAATCCTAGTAGAATCCAGTTCAGAACCTACCCAAGAATGATGCACAACTCTTGCCCTCAGGTTGGTTGGCAGCCATACCGTTTCTCATAGCTGGGGCCTGATTGCAAAAGGTTCATGCTGAGATAAAGGTACTTTACGTTGCCCGGCAAGCTCTGTCACTAGATCTTGAAACTCTTCTGAATCTCAGCTGGCAGCAGCTGGAAATGGATCCCTTTTTTGTGGAGCTCTCCCTTAATAAGGACGCCTTCGTTACGTAATACACACTACCGCTTTCTAAGAAAGCCACATCTCTCAGTGCCCTGTAGGCTGAACTTGCTGGACTGCTGTCCATGTCTGCAGAAAATTATGATCACGGGTACATGTGTATTTAGTTTCTGAATTGATAATATTTGGGGTATGCTAAGACTCGGGGTGGGGGGGGGGGGGCAGGAAGGGAGGTATCAGTGCTAGTTTTGTGGGTCCCTCTCTCTAGCGTGGCATCAAGAAGTATAATAATAATTTTCCCTCCTCTTCCATCTGTGCAGGAGATGATGGCCGTGAAAGACTTCATTGAGAAGCTGTTGCCCAGGATTTAAGCCGAGCTAGTCAAGACTGTTCCAGGGAGAGGAGGCAGAGGTCACCAGCTTTGATCTTGAACCCTTGACCTGTTGGCTGCAATTGGAAGCCATGGCAATCCACCTCCTCACCAGTCACTCGTCTCCTTTCTTGAGCCTTCCCCTCCTGCCTGTGCTGTCCCCCCTCCTGTGCAAAGGGAGGGGAGAGGGCCCTTCTCTCTCGCAGGGCGGGTGAAGGTACCAAGTGGTTTTAAGGTACAGCTGAGATCCTAATCTTGCAGATTATTATTTCAGTCGCCTTTCAGTATTTCCCTATTCTCTCCTCTCTCCTGTTCCGTCTATCCCTACTCCCCCCAACCCCCAACCCCCAAAAACCAAATCTAAACATAAACTGCCTGCTGTGGCAAAGAACTGTGTGGTAGCCAGAGGCTTAAAGCAAAAGGTATTAAGAGATGGTATTCTGGCTATTACAGTACTTTCAAAGGAGTTTCACAGTTCAGTCTTCTGAACAGTCCATCGAGCATCCTTCCCCTCATGATTCTCAGCCCGTCCCACTTCATATTTCACTGGAACCATTTTAGCGATGCAGGCAGGCTCAACTTTCTCAGGCCTGCCTGGCAAGGCAGGAAATCTTGTTTCTGCTCTGCGCAGGCTATCGGCTTGCCACTCTGTGTACCACGCGTTCTCCTCCAAACTTCCCTCAGCAAAAAAAGGGGAAGAGTTGTGTTGTGTCGAAGGCCCACGGCCGGTTGGTCCCCCAGAGGCAGCTTGTAACACTGGCAGCTGCTCCACCAGTCCCTACCCTGATTGGAGTGATAAGGTGGTGGAGAGGACCCACTGCACCAGGAATCACTCCACTTTGTGTGTTATGGACTGTTTTGTATTGTGTTCTCTGATCCACGCTACCTTTATCCTGACCCCCGGGCTCCTTTTTGTTTTTGTTGGGATCAAGAGAAGATGGCGATTCCGGGGAGCGGACTCAAGATGGCTCTGGCCAGTAGGCCTCTCTAGGGTACGGTCTCTGACAATTCCACTTAAAGTCTGGGCAGTGCTCAGACAATGGCTGTTCTAGCCTGCTATGCCAGCTTGTGTTCCTGCCCAGTCACACCAAGCCAAGTGCAAGCTGGGTTTTGGTGTGTGCCACGTTGCCAGAATTGTGCTCCTGCCTCACCACCCCTCCTTTCCTGTGTGGTTCCCTGAGTCCATAGTCTCTCGTTTCCCCCCTGAGATCCGGCTTGTGCCTCAGAGCAGGGTGCTGTTGAACAGCAGCAGTGTTTCTTTTCCTTCTCTCCCTTGCTCCAGTGAGTCCTCCCTGTGGGCTTATAGGACTTGCAGCCAGGGATAAGAGGCAACTTCAAAAGGAACTCCCCCCGCCCCCCCCCGCCCCCTTTCTTTGGTTTTGGCGAAGGGCTAGTCTTGTGTGTCACCTCTCCACCTGTTCTGTGTGCGGACTTTGCGCCCTTCCTTCTCCCTGTCCTATGCAGTCCTTTTCACTGGGCAACAGCAATAAGAAGACACGGGACTAGGGCATGTCTGTCCTTTCCCCTCCTGACTTTGGTGATGGGATAGAGACAGGCTTACCCAACAAGCCATTGAAGTTCCACTGCATTTTGGGGGAAGCTGAATCAAGATGCTTGTGAAACCGCAGGCTCCCTCTCATGCCCCGTGCTTGGTAATCCAACCAGCGTTGCCAATGCCCTCTGCAAAATTGGCTCCTGTTCTCAGAAGATGGACTTGTGGAGATGGCATGAGTGTGGCTCTTGTGTGGCAAAGGCAAAGCAAGACCATCCAGTGAAAGGGATACACGGTTTGGGCAGAGGAAGAGGCCTGGCCTCTTTGTGCACCCCCCTCCCCACCAGCAAAGGTTCCCCGGATTGCAGGGGCACCTCAGTCAGGGCAGCTCCTGTTCACACAGGTAATATAAGTGGTAGTGGAAAAGGAGAATGTCTTGAGCCTCCTATTTTTTTTGGCCAGGAAAACAAAATATTCCTCTCCAGCTCATTTGTGTTTCCCCCGTTTCAAGGGAAGGGCTCCTGCAGCTGTCTGACCTGCACCTTGGGAGTGCGAATGGGTAGGAAAAACGCTCATGCCCAGTCTTGCCACTGAATATCACCAGACAGTAATGGTCAGATTCTGAGATGGTAAAATGAGCTGTACCACCTACGGACTACAAGTGTGTGCAGATATCATTCTTAATGTTTCCATTAAAAAAAAAAGACTTTGCAAATAAAACATAACAACATATAAAGGGAATCCTGGCTCACCGTTTCCCCCCCCGCTCTGCTTATTTTTTTAAAGAATGTGGTTTGTTTTGATAAATTAGATTCTGCACACATTTGTAGTCAGAAGGGTTGCCGCCTACTTCACCATCTCCATGTTCTAAAGCATTTCAGCTTCCTTCTACACCAAATAACATGCAAGGGGCTATATGGGGACAGGTCGGTTGTCTGTTGCCACCACTCAGCCCCTCTCAGGCCACTGAGTTGCAAGTGGAGAGATCTCTGCTCTGGTTTCTGCTGGCCCAGTTTCCTCATTGGGCCTTCCCCAAACTCTTGTCAACATGGCCTGCAAGGTATAGAAGGGATGGGAACGAATACAGAAGCCCAAGGAAGAAGATGGCTTCTCTCTGTTCCTGCAAGGGGATCTCAACAATCTCTTCTCCTTTTCCCTTTGTCTTCCTTGTATGTCATTTTAATTTTTGTGTTCTTCAAGATTAAACAGAAACCACCATTGGTGCCTCACCTTTTGGTTTGTTAAAGTCTAGTTGCAGGGCGTCACCTTTTCCTGCAGGGAGGGTTTTAAGTGTTTAACAGCTCTTACGAACATGTGAAACTTGGGGTGATCTGGACTTGACTGCCTGTGAGATGCTCGATAACCAGAGAAAGAGCCGTTCCAAAGGTGCTTTTCAAAAGGCAATGGAGCGCTCAGTTTTTTCCTTGAAAGTATTTAGCTTCTCATCCAAGGAGTTTCTTCAGAAACTAAAAAAGCTTCTTGGATGGAGAAACGAAATGTTTTCACGAAAAAAATGAATCTCCAGTTTGGGACAATCATGGCCTGGATGATTGAGAATCTCCGTAGACGGAGAAAGAGCTTTTTACTTCTTCTGGGCTCTGCCTCTCTATTCGAATATGCGTATATAGCAGCTTTCGCCATGCTGGCCTAGTATGTTGAGTAAAGTCAGCCTTGGGTGAGGTGATCCACCTTTGGGCAATTGTCTGCACCCAAGGATTGGTCTGGAATTCCATACAAAGGGCATTGAACCTCTGTGTGCGAGATAGAAGGGAGTAGTCATCTCCAGGAGGATTGATTTTATTTTTCTTTCTTGCTCTGTTCTCCGTTCTGCTTCGCAAGGTTTTCCTCCAGTGTTTCTCTGAGCATTGTTATTTGACCCTTGTTTCAGATTTGGGGCATTCTGAATGCAAGCAGGAACTTTCCCTCTGAGCATCCAGCCTCTCTTCCCTCCTGTAACTCCCAGCAAAAATCAGAAATTTCACTGTGGTTGCATTTTATGTGAAGTACTCACTCCCTATGGGAAATTGTCTTCTGAGAGCCTCTCTTCAGGTTCTGCAAATCCTGCCAGGCAGAATCAAGGCCATCCCACCCACCAGTCAGCAGAGTTGCTTTACCACATGAATGTGCTCATTTGCATAGCAACCAAGCCAGGCTTTCCATCAGAACAAGACCTTGAGGGTTGTCACGGGCAAAAGTGGCTCTAAAGTAGTTTTGAACAGGCTTTCATTTCTTCCCCTCCTGTTTTTTTTTTTAAGAGAGTTTAATAGTGATTTTGATTATACCTTCAAATTGCTGTCATCTCCTAGCAATGTGGTCCTAGCAACCACATAGATGTTTTCCATGATGATCTGTCCTTAATTTGGTCCTTCAGGTCTTTAAAGCCTAAAGGTTAACCAGAAAGACTAATCTGGTTGCTGCTGGTTGTCCCCCTTCTAATCTTTCCCAACCTCAGAGCCTTCTCCAGAGAGATGGGTCTTCAAATCATGTCCAAAGAAGCATAATTTGAGCCTGATCACCTAATATACTAATTTTTAATGATGTGTACAGTAAAAGACATTGTGGGAATCCAGCCAGAGCCCTTTATAAACCACTTTTAGCAATTATAGTTTATTCAACCCATAACAAAACATCTTGCATCTGTGCAGCCAGCGAATACTGCAAATTCATTACTTATTTAGATGCCGCTGCAACCAACAACCAATTCATATTACCACCTCAAAAGTAAATAATGTATTACAGCAATAATATAATTTATTCAAAGCATTTATTCTTGATATCACTTTTTCTCCCTAAGTATTTCTGGGATATTGTTATCAAGTTGCTTGTTAGCATTTCCCATGTTTCTTATATCTGATTCAGATTTTCAGTAAGTTTGATTTTAGGGAGCAGGCAAAGCTTTTAGGGAAACTTTGGCTTCCTTTAAAGAGGGTTACCTTTTATAGCATATTTACTGTTGTAGGGATCTCTTAAAATCTGTACTGAAATGCTTCTTGTACCACTTAAGAATATCTGAAAAGTATTTAAGAATAGCTCACAGTTGAACTGTAGAGTTCTTGATGCTCTCCAAGTTTGGTTGTTTGCTTGCAGATGTTTAATTACCTGACTAAGTAGCTCAATCAGTTTTAGTGAGATTGAAATCGGCTCTCTATATAATAGTTTCTCCTGCCACTGTTGGTGGATGTGTGATTTTTCTCCTTGGTTGCTCCTTAATTATAGTTTTCTAGATTGTTTGTCTGGTGTTGATCCCTGTTTATCTGATATAGGTTGCTGGAAAGGATGTGTTCTAATCTTTTTGTTTCCTTCTTAGCTTTTTATTGTTTCTTTTGAATGGTGTGCAAATGTGGTTTATCTCTGTGTCTATTGATGGCTGATTTATCTGAATGCTAAGCTTCCAGGAATTCTCTAGCATTTTTAGATTTGACTTGATCTGGAATGCTCATTGTTTCCTAAAAATGAAACTATGGTAGATCTGTCCATGTGTTGTGAGTTTTAGGAGTTTTCATTGTGTCATCCGACTACTAGTTGGCGTTCATGAATGTGCTCTCCTAATCTTATACTTCTCTGACTCAGACATGTTGTAGATGGGTCTTTTGGTTTTCTTAAGAGGTTTTGGAGAGCTTTGGTTGATTTGTGTGCCTTGTAGTTGTAATAGTCTGTTGGTTGTTTGTGAGAGGTTTTTGATATTTGGCAGTGCTGTCCTTTTCATGGCTTATGTTGGTTGTACTATAGTAGGTTGAGTGGCTAGTCATTTTTCTGATAATGGTGCAAATCTGTAACCCTGCCTTTGGGATGGGGGAGTTGTTTGTGGCATTTTTTATTCTTGCTGTTTTTTTTTTCCTAACTCTGCACAGTTCACCAACGTCCATCCTCTCTGGCCTGAGAAAGAGCAATTCTAAGTGTTGTCAGCAAAGATTGGGGAAGGGAGGCTGTTGAATAAATAATGTGCGTGCTTTAGTAAAACACAATTATCTTTTTTAAAAAATAGGATTCCCTCCTTTCCTAGGAATATTACTACATCACCACCTTCAAGCCCTTGAAGCAATTTTTATTTTTAAGTGAAACTCACATGGCTACAAAAAGGTTGCCCATTCCTACGCTTGAAGCATCCAAAAAGGGTTTTTTTAATGTATGTGCACATTAATATTAATTATATAACATTGATGTCCCGAGCCTTGAAATCCATTTAAATCACTTTCAAGAGTTGTTCTCCAAATGATAAGGCTGACATTAGGGGAAAAAAAGTGGGATTTCAAAAACCACTTGTTAATTACTGGCCAGGGAGTGGGCAGAAGTACTCGATTCTGTATAATAATCTGAAAGGTAGAACACAACCATAAAGGTTAAAGAATAAGTCCATACTTGCTAATGCTAAATCAAAGTAGCTTCTAAGGGAGGAATGGAACAGGAATGCAAAAGAAGATAATTTATGGCCAAGCAGATAGAGCTGTTCCTTCTTGCCCCTTGCAGATTCCACAAGTGTCTGTCATTTGCTCTTCTGGGTTAACACAAAAAGACTGGATATTCAAGAATGTTTGGGTTGGAAGGAACCCTGAAGGCAATCTAATCACTTCTCTAGTGGATAATCATGATCATCATACCAGGATTTTGACCAGGTGGTTTGCAGTATGAAAATTAGAACAAAATTTGCTTTTAAGCTGTAAACTCAAATTGGCATAAGAAGCTAAAACAAAAATGCTAACCAGACGGAGCTAGATTCCTTATGCTGCACAAAATGCTGTTTGTAAACAGATGGTCATTGATCCAGAGCCTAAAATAGTGGCTTCCATTGGAAACAAGAAATGCAGTGATGGGATTTAAAAGTTTTTTTTACTACCGGTTCTGTGGGCATGGCTTGGTTGGGCATGGCAGGGGAAGGATACTGTAAAATCTCCAGATTTTGCTGGTTCTCCAAACTGCTCAAAATTTCTGCTACCGGTTCTCCAGAAGTGGTCAGAACCTGCTGAATACCACCTCTGAAGAGATGGGAGACTGATTTAGGTTATTTTCAGTGTATCAAAACAAGCCTGTATTGGGCTTCAACCTGAATAATGAAGTCATTTATACAGCCAAGGAAAGAGGTAGTGATTTGCATTAGAAGCACACTGGTGGTCTCTACATCAAAAAATGGAAGTGGGCAAAAGCAATTCTACTGCAAATATTTTAAAGAGCACGCCAGTCTAGTCTTATATTTGCAACATGAGCAGATACTTTCACAGCAGTGAGCACCGGAATTATCTTGTATTTCCGACCTGGATTTGAAGTTATGGTGGTTAAGTCTGTCCTTCCCCCAGTCATGTGACTGTACTTCAGGTGCTCAGCAACTGGGCCACATTTACGGCTGCCTGCAACGTCCCTAGGTCACACAGCCTCATTTCATGATGGCTTTCAGGAAAACTGCCCATAGTGAACTACTGGTCCACCTAAGGACCACAATATTTACTTAATAACCACAAAAGTAATAAAATTGATGCTTTATGACTGTCAGAAATTACTACTATGATGAGAAGCTCCATTATGGTCACAACTGGAGGACTATACTGTTTACCTACATTGCTGTCAGACTATTATGCTCTTCTGCTTTTTCTCAATTTACAATCTTAAAGCTATTGGTGGGAGCATCTCTTTTCAAGATGTTAGAAACTTCATTGCATGCAGTACCTTTAGTTATATCACTATCCAGAAGAATTGAAAACTTCACTAAGAATCTGTGATGTCTGTTTTAGAGATCAACAAGCCCAACAGGTTTTGGATTATAGTCTGATCAATGTTAAAATTTACAGTGTGCAACTTAAAAGAGATACTTCCATTATTATTTTGCTCAAAAAAAAAGTACAGTTTATAATTTATAAAAAGAAATGGAGATAATGACAAAACCCACTTTACCCGCCTCAGGCTTAGTTTTTTTACCCTGGCTCTTCCGCTCAAATGAAAGAACCAGGTCTCTGAAATCTTGCACTCTTAACCCCAAGCAGCTCTCATCTCTTGAAGCCAAAAAACCCAAAGAGTTGTGGATTAAGTTCCCCTAAAACCAACCAGGCTTCTAGGGAAACATTTACATTTTGTCCTCCTGTGACATCCAGCTAGGTGTCCCGTTGCTCCTCATTCAGTAAAAAAGACGTTGCCTCAGTCGGTAAAAAGGCTCTTGAGTTTCTGGCAGAGAGATGGGATGAAGAGAAGAGAACCAGGCCACTTAAGAGGGCAATGGCATCCTCTTCTGGCGTGGTGAGTCGGCTCCAAAAAGGAAAGAAGAAATGAGCATGGACCATCTTCCTTTTTCAAAACTGGTCAGCCCTTGGGTCTTCACCAATGTGCTAGTGGTTGCATGAGAAGAACAGGCAACATCTTCCATCTCCTAGTTCTTGCTGAAACCGGTGGGATTCTGTGACTGCCACCGCCATAAGTCCTCACCTGAAAACAAGAGGAAGAGGAAGGAGAGTAGAGAGAGGAACAGTGAGGGTCCAGCAGCTTGCCTTTAGGTAGGTATCAAAACGTACCGGGAAGGGTAGATGGCCATTTTGTTCTTGGGGGGGGGGGGGAGAGCGCAAAATGTTCCTTGAAAGATGAGCAGCAAGCAGAAAGTTTCTACTTACACATTTTGTCCAGGCCAAAGATAGCTTTCCAAGCCAGCTCCTGCTCAGCTAAACCAGGGTTTGCATAACAAGAGGCTACGTCCCCTTCTCGGCGTTCAACAATCTTGTAGTTTATCTAAAATAAATAAATAGCCTGCCTTTACATTTCTGGGAAATGAGTTGGATACGGTTGCTAAGATGCCAAGTGAGAGACGGCTTGAGGTTAGGTCCCAGGCTGATCACAAAACCTAGCAGAGCAGATGGTGGATTTCTGCTGAAAGCTCCAGAAAGTGGACAGCTTCACAATAAGATCTCCAGGTGTAACTCTTGAGCATTTTTAAGTCTTGGCGTAGGAGACCCCCATATTGGCTGTCAGCCTACCTGTCTCCCAGATGCCTTCTCCATGGCTTTGACCATCTGCAAGACCGAGTAGCCAACACCAGTCCCAAGGTTGTAAATCTGTAAGAATGCAATTTTTTTGCTCATATTATTCTATGCTCCTTTGTTAGAGGGGGAGGAGACCTTAAATACGTGATACACCAACTTATTTTCAGTGTGGATGTAGCAGGCGGATGCAGAGGGTGCATCTGATTTAAAGCTATCAAGTTTAGTATCCTCCTGCGTTGTAAGATCATTCAGAAATGAAAGAAAGAAAAATAATGACTATGAAGACACCCTTTGACCTAAGCAGGGCATTCTCCTTTTCAAAGGATGGACACTTTTATAAAGAACATCCTTACCTTGCATCCACAGTTCTCCTTGAGCTTCTGCAAGGCTGCAATATGGCCCTTTGCCAGATCAGTTACATGGATATAATCCCGAATGCCTGTCAAGAGGACAGTCTGTCAATGTTCTGTTCACCCAGCTGGTGCACATGTATTTCCACAACTTTAGAAGATGTGCATTCAAATACACACAATACAATATAACAGAAGACATTTTGCACATTTGGCCAGGGGTGGCATTAATAGTGTCTCTTTTCCAAGCCATTTAGGGATTCTGCTCAACCAGAACTGCTGGTCTATTTCTTGAGGCCTGGAGGGGCTGTGTAGTAAGTCTCAGTTCCCAGCAAAGAAAATCAGTATTTGAGACCCAGGAGGTGAATATACCTAGTTCCATTTTAATCCAGCCCATGTACATTTCATTGTCCCTTTAACTAGTAGTTTACCATCAAGTAATTCTACCAGGAAAGTGCTTTACACTTTCCTAAAATGTTGCCATAAATGACACTCGCAACCATTCAACCCCAAATAAATTTACTTTTATAAAGCACTTGAAATTTTGTGGGATTGTTAAATCTTCTGGTATTAAGTCCTGGAATGTCTCAGAAGGTGATAACGGAATCTTGAGTCTTGGGTTATTAAGATTATGTTTTTAAAAATATGTATATGAAGCAGAGATGCCTGACTTCCTAAAGGTGCTTAGCCCTGGTTTAAGATGGCAAGAAAGTAAGTACTGGTTTCAGAAGAATTGGTGGACAATAGATTCACATCTTCCTTGGGGGAAAGTTCCAGATTGTAACTTGCTATGCTTCTTTTTTCCATTGAGCTTCTCCACTCAGCCTTTTTCTTTTTTGTTTTTGAAGTGGGGGTCTTCATTTTATAGTTTGGATGATACTGAGCCCCACGCACCTGTCCCATCCACTGTGTCATAATCATTCCCAAAGACGTTCAGATGCTCTCTGCGCCCCACAGCTACCTGGAACAGGCAGAAGATGGGGGGAAAAATGAAAAAGTAAACTCAGAAAATCTAGTGCAGCTGATGAAGCAGCACAAACTCTTTTAAGATCTGTATACCTGGGCAACGTAAGGCATCAGGTTGTTTGGGATGCCCTGGGGGTCTTCTCCAATTTTTCCGGACTTGTGAGCTCCAATAGGGTTAAAATATCGCAAGAGAACAGCGTTCCAGTCCTAGGATGAAAAAAGAACAATCCTAGGATGAAAAAATCTGGTGGGACAGAGCAGACTAAAAGGAAATTAAGGTGCACTGCTGATCTCTTACTGGTTCTGCCTTGCACAAATCTTGAATAATCTCTTCAATGAAATACTTGGATTTGCCGTAGGGGTTGGTGCAGCTGCCGACCGGGTGCTTCTCATCAAGAGGGAGGTAAACAGGGTCGCCATAGACTGTGGCTGAACTGCTGAACACGATGTTCCTGACTCTGTGGGCTTTCATGGTCTAAGAGGCAAAAGAAAAGGACAGATGAGCTAGATTCTGAATCGGGTCAGGGGCAGCAGATAAATCTGGCAACGGGGACAATATTCCTTGCCCTTGCTGTATCCAGGCCAGCATGACTGGATGAAGACTGGTGAAACTGACGTTCCCATCCCAGTGCTTAATGAGAGGATACTTTATGCTATGGTTTTGGGGTATGGGGTCTTGTGTTAGCATCCAAGATGGCCTTAAAAGGGTATATACTAGTTGATCCCCAACTGGACAGCTTCTAGATGTCTTGGAAGCCATTTCCCACATTCTTCAGCCGTGTACTACTTGTCTAAAGAAGCTGAAGTCCAACAAATTTGGAGAATTTGGGAAGGCTCTGCTAAACACTTTCAAGATGCTGCTGTATAGCGCGCTAACAGTTTCAGGATTTCAACTTCAGGCCAAGAGATTCTGGCCTATCAACATTTGAGCCCAAGATGGTCTGATCTGCAGATTGGTAAAAATGGCCACCCAAACCCTAGTATAAATTCTGATTTATTTATTTATTTTGCTCTTCTCAGATACATTTGCTGGTGGCTGAGTGGGAGCCCCTTCCCCACAACCATCTTCTATTGACTCTCTATAGCTAAACGTTCATTATAATCTTGCATAACGGAAACTCACCTCTAACAACCGGATAGTTCCTGTCAGATTCACCTTGTAATATTCCAGTGGCATCTGGACTGATTCTCCAACGGCCTTAAGACCCGCAAAATGTATCACTGCAGAAAAGTGATGCTGGAAATGGAAGGAGGACCAAAATGATGTCACTGTTGTTACTCGGATCAAAGTTCACCTTCATTGTGGGTTTCTTTTTTCTCATTAATGGATATTTAACTTTTAAGCCCACTTTTCCATTAAATTACTTTAGGGTGGTCTAAACTGAGAAGGCAAACATGTGAAGCCTGGATCAGAATGATTATTGAATATGTGGCCTATATGGTGACTACATTCCATCTCCAAAGAATCACCAAAACAACCCCACAACATTATCTGAGGCTACTGTTTTTCAAGAGTTTGGAAGTATTTGTGTCTCATTGGTTTTTCTGCTCCCATGCCCATCTTTAAAAGTCTCACAAAGGAAAAAAGAAACTCGAGACAGAAGAAAACATTCTACAAATGAGAAGCATTCATTTTCCTGCTGAATTTCAGAAGTACAATTTTGAACTCCAGGGCCACCAACATTATGCCTACGAATCTGTGTGACCCACAGACTGCCCATTCCATTCTGATGGCTGCTCACAGAGCACAAAAACACACTGGAGTCTTTGCCCCTTTGTCTTTGCCCGTTTTTTGGGAAAAGGCCAATTCAGATGACTCAACTGAATTGACGATGCAAAAATCACTTATAAAATTCTTCATACGGTTACAAGCCAAAGCTTTAACCTCCATGTCCTCAGAGCAGAGATATCCCCCCAACAAGAATGGACTGAGAGTTTTTTCCTGCAGTTTTTCAGCACAACCAGGTATACTAGAAGTCAATATAGTCATGATAAAATTGATGCACCATTGATGCACAATTCTGGAGAATTTGCAGAATTTCCTTGGGCAGTACCAAATCTCCCCCAAGATCAAGACTCTTCAAACTTGGCAGCTTTAAGACTTGTGGACTTCAACTCCCAGAATTCCTGAGCTAACATGACTGGAGGAAGGGGGATTCTGGGAGTTGAAGTCCACAAGTCTTAAAAGCTGCCAAGTTTGAAGGAACCCTGCCCAAGATTGATGGGGTGAGGAACCAAAAAGGGAGGGAGGCAACCGGATAGGAAAAGGCAGATGAGCCTTCTCCTTAGGCAAAGTTGGTGATGCTGCTCAGTAGCAAAAACTCAGCTTACTTGCAGAAGCTGAGCCAGTTTCATAATTGGTACAGTGAAAAGGGAAAGTGAAACCATCAGATTAGAGATATCTTACCTTTTTGAAGAGCTCCTGAAGGGCTCCCTCATCAAGAACATCCAGTTCTTGGAATGGGATCTCCTTTCCCACAATCTCCATCACACGCTGAATACTCTCTGGCACCCTATTTTCTCCTGCAGAGTGAATTAGTGTTTTTGACACGATGCCGGATGGACTCGGCCTCATGCCAGTCTGTTGCTGCCCTCTTTAGGGAGAAGAGGGTAAGAAAGCCTCCCCTCCCCAAGCCCTTAGCCTGGAAGGATGCTCCTTTGGACCTTAGGGCTGTTCTCGCTTTTGACTGAAAACATTCTGATCTCCATCATTCCTGCTTCCCATCACATAAGCCAAACATCTCCCACCCCGCCCTGGGAACAGCCAGATATGCCTTTTCTCTCTTCCATTTACTCAGAAATGCTTTGGTACTGTCAAGGCCTTTAAGAAAAGCAAACTCAAGAAACAATCCTCTGTATTTCTGAAGGATCTTCAGTGCTTATTTGTAAGAGAACCTTGAAAGCCCACCACAGCAATCGTCCAGCTCAACTTATAACCAGCATAACCAAGACGGAGTCTCTTGTTTGCATTCACTTTCCTCCCCCTGAACTTGACTTTTGCAATGGTCCTCCATCTTCCTGTAATATCTTTCACTTTTCCCAGGACTGTTAAGTCATTCCATCATAAATACTCCCTCCACTTTCATCCCAGTGGCTATCTGAGTAGGAAATGAGAGCAGGACTAGAACCTGGGCCTTTCTGACAGTATTTTAAGAGGTCAGTAAAGGATATTAAGATGAGGGTTTGGCCGATGTTTCAGTGCCACCCTGAGGCGAAAGTGAAATAGCGCTTTGCCTATGAGAATCAGTGGGGAAGGCAACATTGTTGGCTCCTCACTCCAACTAAGCCACATTTATTTAGCTTAGTTGATAGACCCAGCCATAATTTGCAAGATGGATGCAACTTACACACTGGGGTTTATTTGATTCTGGTGTAGTGTGTGTTATAAAACCACTTGTTTATAAAACCATGGTTTATGACTAACTTATTATCTGTAAAGTAACCCATGATGATAAACATGGCTTAGAATAAGGCCTGAATTGAGTCACTGGTTCAAGCAAGCAGTTGTTGGAACAGTCTGCCTACAAAACCAGGCATTTCACCATAACTTTAAGACTTGTGGACTTCAACTCCCAGAATTCCGCAGCCCAGCATAGTCTTAAAGTTACCAAGTCTGGAGACCTCTGTGCTAAGTGGAAAACAACAGCCTTGGATGCAAATTTTGCATCAATCAGCTCCTGGATACCGCCCTTACCTCGGATGGCATTGTGGAAGTTATCGATAACTACTGGGGTATAGCCAGCCTCAACCAGTTCCAGAACACAGTGGCTCCCTATATAGCCAGCTCCACCAGTCACAAGGATCTTTTCCGACATGGTCTTCTGAAGAGAAACAGAAAAATCTTTGGATGAAGAGAAGAACTGGTTTTTTTCTGGGAAGAACAAGTGTATTATGAAGAACTGCGGCCAGGATGCACAATTCATTTTCCCAAGAGACCACATGAGAAACTAGGACTGTTATGGAGACCTGAGCCAATAGGACTATGAAGGTACATAGGCAAGCATGCATGCAACATATATAAATTGAAGAAAAAATAACAGCTTCAAAATAAAAGCAACCCATGCAGGCCGGATAAGGACAGCCAAAGGGCTAAATGTGGCCCAGGGCCCATAAAATGCCCAGGTCTGATTTAGGCCAACCTGGAACACTCCAGATGTTTGGGGAACGCAGAATGAACATTCCAAATCTCTAGATTGGTTTTCTGGGGTGTGTGGTTTCAACAAGTCCGGAGGGCACTAAAATGGGTAGAAGCAACAATGCCTGTTTCCAGCATCTATTTTCTTGGTCAGATTCGGTGCCAATAGAAACCTTCCTGAGAGAAGTCACTCAAAACTAAAAGGCTAAGCATTCTGTCAGAATTCACAAATGTTGATCCTAGGCTAAAGGCAGGTAAAAAACTGGACCAAGGCAGTCTGGAAAATGGGGGTGGTGCCTGGAGACAGTTTAGTAGTGAGCAAGGCGGGTTTACATGGAAGCAAAAGGATTGGGCAGCCTGAGTAGCAGGAATACCAAAGAGATCGCAAGGGCCCTAGCTCTGCAGAAGTGAGAATTACATGTTTACTAAGCTCTGAACAGTCTCTGTCAAATATACACTGCTCAAAAAATAAATACAGGGAACATTTAAACAACACAATGTAACTCCAAGTCAGTCACACTTCTGTGAAATCAAACTGTCCACTTAGGTAGCAACGCTGATTGACAATCAATTTCACATGCTGTTGTGCAAATGGAATAGACAGCAGGTGGAAAGCATAGGCAGTTAGCAAGACATCCCCAATAAAGGATGGTTCTGCAGGTCGTGACCGCAGACCACTTCTCAGTTCCTATGCTTTCTGGCTGATGGTTTGGTCGCTTTTGAATGCTGGCGGTGCTTTCACTCTAGTGGTAGCATGAGACGGAGTCTACAACCCACACAAGTGGCTCAGGTAGGGCAGCTCATCCAGAATGGCACATCAATGCGAGCTGTGGCAAGAAGGTTTGCTGTGTCTGTCAGCGTAGTGTCCAGAGCACAGAGGCGCTACCAGGAGACAGGCCAGTACATCAGGAGACGTGGAGGAGGCCATAGGAGGGCAACAACCCAGCATCAGGACCGCTACCTCTGCCTTTGTGCAAGGAGGGACAGGAGGAGCACTGCCAGAGCCCTGCAAAATGACCTCCAGCGGGCCACAAATGTGCATGTGGCTGCTCAAACAATCAGAAACAGACGCCATGAGGGTGGTATGAGGGCCCGACGTCCACAGGTAGGGGTTGTGCTTACAGCCCAACACCGTGCAGGATGTTTGGCATTTGCCAGAGAACACCAAGATTGGCAAATTCGCCATTGGCGCCCTGTGCTCTTCACAGATGAAAGCAGGTTCACACTGAGCACATGTGACAGATGTGACAGGGTCTGGAGACACCGTGGAGAACGTTCTGCTGCCTGCAACATCCTCCAGCATGACCGGTTTGGCAGTGGGTCAGTAATGGTGTGGGGTGGCACTTCTTTAGGGGGCTGCACAGCCCTCCATGTGCTTGCCAGAGGTAGCCTGACTGCCATTAGGTACCAAGATGAGATCCTCAGACCCCTTGTGAGACCATAAGCTGGTGCGGTTGGCCCTGGGTTCCTTCTAATGCAAGACAATGCTAGACCTCATGTGGCTGGAGTGTGTCAGCAGTTCCTGCAAGATGAAGGCATTGATGCAATGGACTGGCCCGCCCGTTCCCCAGACCTGAATCCAATTGAGCACATCTGGGACATCATGTCTCGCTCCATCCACCAACGCCACGTTGCACCACAGACTGTCCAGGAGTTGGGGGATGCTTTAGTTTAGGTATGGGAGTTGATCCCACAGGAGACCATCTGCCACCTCATCAGGAGCATGCCCAGGCGTTGTAGGGAGGTCATACAGGCATGTGGAGGCTACACACACACACTACTGAGCGTCATTTTGACTTGTTTTAAGGACATTACATCAAAGTTGGATCAGCCTGTAGTGTTTTTTTCCACTTTAATTTTGAGTGTAACTCCAAACCCAGACCTCCAAGGGTTGCTAAATTTGATTTCCATTGATAATTTTTGTGTGATTGTTGTCAGCACATTCAACTATGTAATGAACAAAGTATTTAATAAGAATATTTCATTCATTCAGATCTAGGATGTCTTATTTTTGTGTTCCCTTTATTTTTTTGAGCAGTGTATTTGTTTCCACCTTGCAAAGCTGTTGTGAAACTACCAAATCAAATTTGAAGCATTTTAACAGCATAGGAAGCCCCTTTTATATACCCTCCATTCCCACATTTCTTCCTCAAAAAGAAATGACACCTCTATATCTTCTAAGAGTCATGGTGGCCCAGTGGTTAGAATGCAGTATTGCAGGCTAACTCACTGCTCACTCTAGTAGTTCGATCCTGACTGGCTCAAGGCTGAGTCAGCCTTACATCCTTCCGAGGTCGGTAAAAACAGAGACCCACATAGTTGGGGGCAAGATGCTGACTCAGTAAACCACTTAGAGAGGGCTGTAAAACAGTACGAAGAAGTATACAAAATTAAGGGCTATTGCTATAATCATTTTTACCCTCAAAGTTTGCGGAATCAATATTGATCTTGGTTGGAAAAAGAAAGAAAAATGTGGTTTATGCAAGTAATATAAGCTGCCCAAGAATAAGCTTTCTATAATAGAATCCTTCCCTCTTTGTCATCAATCAGACTTAATAAGTATTTCCTTGCGCTGGAGTTCTTGGCAAAAAGTAAGCCAACCACTGAGCATGAATTAAATTCCCCACCCTGTCTAATTAATGTCAGTCTCCATAAAAGTCCTGCTTGCCAGATGTTCATAAGCGTTTATAGAGCTCATCTAACAAACCGGTATTGTTTGCATTTGCACAATTCAACATAAGCAGTTACAGATCTACTGGCTACATTCGTACAACATGCTTTATCTTGGTTAGCCTTTTTTTTTTTGAGTTCAGAACCCACTGTGAGCCTAGCCCATTTGATTACAGACCCAGAAAATGGGTTAATTCAGTAACCAAGATATGTTTTGTTATGAGACTGTGATAAATAAGAAAAAAGGAATAGAAACAGACAACTCTTCCACCCACCGATCTCCTTCCCATTTTTTTCATTTGGTGTCCTTATTGCCAGGGAAGGAAATCGCCACAGCCCATGATTCAGACACCAGATCACTTAAGTGTTCTGGGATAGATATTTCCTGACAGTTAGAACAATTAATCAGCAGAACAATTTGCCTCCAGAGGTTGTGAATGCTCCAACACTGGAAGTTTTAAAGAAGAGACTGGACAACCATTTGTCTGAATAGGGCAGGAGTCCTGCAACCTCCAGGCTGTGGCATGCCAGAAACTGGGTTGCACGAACAAGCGAAGCCCCATCAGTGGGATGCAGGCAGCACACAAAACCACGCCTCCTCCAGTCCACGGAAAAGCCTCTCTCCGTGGAACCAGTCCCTGGTACCCCAAAGGTTGGGGACCGCTGGTATAAGGTCTCCTGCTTGAGCAGCAGGTTGGACTACAAGACCCTCCACGACCCTTCCAACTCTCTTATCCTGTAAAAATATTTTCAGGAGAAACCAGGGAGATCTAATCCTTCTGTAAACACCAGTGTCCTTTCTGTTGTCATATTTTTTTAAAGTTTTAATTTCCTGGTCTGGCTTCTGATCTTTCACACTGACATCCCTCCCTCCCTAGCAGATATGTAGCAGGCGGAGAGTTGCTTGTGTTCCAGAATTTAGACTGAGAACTCAAATCCAGCTTATCTAAATATCTCTGGGGGAGCAGGAGAAAGCTGACGCTTCTCAGACTGGGTTGTCAAAATCACACTTAACCTAGGAATGTTGTAGTTCTTTCCCTAAAACCATGTCTTTGCCAGCTTCTCCTCCCTTCCATGCTCAGTCATGGACAGAGCCACTCTCTTTACACAGAAAAGTTTCTGTCTTTCTGTTCCAGGAGCCTATTGCTATTTATTTTCCAGTCCCTGAAAATATAATATTTTGTGAAAACAGACGCACTTCAGTCTGAAAATGACGAGGTTGAGGTTTTGACAGGAAGAGAAGAACTGGACTCAGAAGAGCTGCTGAGAAGCGGGAGTGGAGGGCCACCTGGACAGAACTGCCCACCCCAAAGGGCAATGAAGAGAGAGTCTGTGTGCCCAGAGCCACAAGGAAGACATTCATCTTGAAACACCCACCCACCGTTTGAATGCCGGTCAAAGTTTTAGGCTTGATCCTGGTTTCAGACTCAGACTCAACTTCAACTATCTGAAACACCCAGTATATCTCAGCAGCCAGAGGTGGCTGATCCGTTTTCCCTAACATCTTAGTTTGCCTATCTATAAAATATACTTGTTTGTGGGATCCAGCCTCAGCTCCTCATTCTTGCTTTCAAGAGTCTTCCCGTAGCTTTCCCGCTCCTTATTTCTTAACTCTCAATTTCTCATTAATACTCTCCCTCTGACTTTTGCTCCTTCAACTCTACTTAGCTGTCCAAAGGCCATTAACAAGAACTCAAACACAGCTTCAGATCATTCTTGCAGCAAAGAATGATCTGAAGCTGCGTCAAAGCTCCTCTCTTCCTCCGACTCAAAGGTTGGCGCAATTTCCAGTACAAAAAACGGTACCAAGCACAACTGTTTCTCTGCATGCAGAACCAGATTGAGGCCTCATCCTTCCAGTGCTTCTTTCACTCACTTTTAACTACTCAAATCAGTGGCCCCCAACCTTTTGGGCACTAGGAACTGGTTCCATGGAGAGAGGTTTTTCTGTGGATCGGAGGAGACGTGGTTTTGCGTGCTGCCTGCATCCCATGAATGGGGTTTCGCTTATTTGCGCGGATCGGTTTCCGGCATGCCATGACCCACTGCTGGTCCATGGACCGGGTGTTGTTGACACCCGAGGTAGACTGCAGGCTGAAAGGAATGGAGGGTAGGATACCATTTCCTTCTTCTAGAACAGAGGCCCCTAAACTTGGCAACTTTAAGACTTGTGGACTTCAACACCCAGAATTCCTCATCCAGCTATGCTGGTTGGAGAATTCTGGGAGTTGGAAGTCCACAAGTCTTAAAATTGCCAAGTTTGGAGACCTTTGCTCTAGAACAGTGTTTCTCCGCCTTGGTCACTTTAAGACGTATGGACTTCAACTCCCAGAATTCCCTGGCCAGCATGCAGCACTTGAAGTCCAGGCATTTTAAAGTGGTCAAGGTTGAGGCCTTGGCCAAAACAGAAGCTCGGAGCACTATTTGCAGTTGCAGTGCTTTCCTTTTCTGCCTTTTCTCAAGAGGAACAAGCCATCTGTCTGGCTCTCACTTGCTCCTCCACCCATCAACACACTTTGGCTGGGCCAAAATCATGCTGTCACTCCAATTTTGCTTGCTTTAGATCTGCTGCCTCTGGCAAATAAACCTGTCTTCGAGGAGAAAGCGGAGAGTGTGAGTCCTCCTGGAAACGGCTGCGTCTTCCTTGTCCTCATTCTTAAAAAATATTTTGATTCCCTGGTTTGGTTTCTGTCACCCTTTCACACTGGTCTCCCTTGCAAATCTTTAGCAAGTGGAACTAGCAGGAGTGGGAGGGTTGGGGAATCTAAGGTCCAATCTTTAGTTCCAGCTTGTCAGGTATTTATGAAATGTGTTCGTTTAGAGCAGGGGGTCCCCAAACTTGGCAACTTTAAGACTTGTGGACTTCAACTCCAAAGCTGGCTGAGGAATTCTGGGAGTTGAAGTCCACAAGTCTTAAAGTTGCCAAGTTTGGAGACCTCTGGATTAGAGCAAAAAATAAAAAATAAATCCTGGCTATTTGGCTCCCATGCTGCTAGCAAGGTATAGAAGGGATTTTTTAAAAAAGGATCTGCAGCAGTTCACTTTCTTCCTTCATCGCCAACCTTTTACTTGGCTAAAAGCCAACCTGGTTCAGGATGTAGTGATTATTCACTATTTACTCAGAGATATTAAAAACCAGGAAGCTGAACACTTGGTATGACTGGTGCAATGGGGTGACAAAAACGTTCACCCACTGGGAGAAGAGATCTGAGCTGGGCTGCACTTCCTGCAGCCAGTTCCACGTGGGCAGAACAGGCCAACCCATAATCAAGCATGCAGTTGCAGAGCCAAGTTGGCAACACCTTGTCCACACCTGGGCCATTTGCCTGAATCAGAATACCTTAGCAAAGGGGCAGGATGACGTTGCTTCTTTGTTTTATCCATCAAAGCTGAGACCTGCCCAACCGGAGCTGGTACAGAACAAATTCCTTAATACGCAAGGAGACCTTATAATAGGATTGGCTCACCTGTAGTCCAATGTATCAGGTGAAGCAAGTTAGTCTATTTTTAAAGCAAGTTTTAAAGCAAGCTTGATAGTGAATCTGGCCGACAGTGGCTTGTTCACAAACCATAGTTAAAACAACTATCATTCAACACAGGGATTCAGATTTTTTTTTTTTTTTGGAACAAATTTGTAGTATCCGTTTGAACATTGCTGAGAACTATTCTCCAAAAAGTAGTAAGATGGGTCCAAAATGAAATTTGATTGCATTTCATTGATAGTGAAGTTAAATAGAGGACTTATTACTATTCCATCAATTTAAAAACATTTCTCCAGTTTGTCACTCTATAATGTAACAATCCTGGAGAATCCATGAGGGACTTTAGAGCCAAAGCAACTTTGATACTTCTGCTTAGGTAAATGCATGAACCCAAGTGCAAGAAATTAGCAACCAGGAATTGGTGATGGAGGATCAAGAAATCTTCCACTTGCCAAATTTTCCTTCCTTATGATTTTTAGCTTTGGGCATATTAACTACAATTGTCATTTTGCTGTGGCTCTTTTTCAACAATATGTGACAAATGTTTGCCCCTTTATCAGGTCAATCCACATGAATAAGTGTGCAAAACATACCATTTTATATCTAAAATAATTTCACACACACAAAAGTATCTTGCTGAAAACAAGACCTCCCACATTTCACATGCAACAGTTTGAGCAGGGACATTTTGCGCACTCTCGCAAGTCGGTAGCATTTCTATTGGACCTATAGGGGTGCATTGCTCGACTCAGCCCATTATGGGATTCACTTGGTTTTCACTTAACCCAGGGTTGGGCAGCTTCCCCACAACTAAGCTACAACTGTCTCCCACAAGCGGCTCGAGATTTGCAGGTGAAATTGCTAAACAGGGAGGGACATGTTAACTCGTAAAGCATTCCTGGCTGGCTATCGAGTTGCCATGGGAAGGAGAGGGGGGGGGGGGGGGGGGGGGGGGGGGGAGAACTGGTGAAGCAGCATTAAGGCCAGAGGCACATTCCATGCATACCTTTCTCAAGGCTGTATTCCAGAGGCGTGATCTCTACAGCCCTCAAAGGTGCTCCGTTGGAGAATGTGATTTATGACACACCCTGGGGGGAGGGGGAAAACAGGGTCATAGTTGAGCCATAAATAGTGAGGCAAAGCTGACTTCACTTGGGTACCTGCAGACATGTTGCTCCTAATAAATAACTGTATTTCTTTTGAAAATTGGCTCTAGGCTCATGGTTTAATTAGGGTATCCGTCAGAACCCTGACACGATGGTTATTTATCTCTTCTGACTCGTCTTTCAGGTTTTTAAGAGTGAGAATGGGACTGCCTCCCTACACCCTCAAATACATTTGCTGAGAAACTGGCTGATTTCTGGCTGCATCATTTGGTTGGTGAAGGGGAGGAATTTAGGGAGGGGATTAATAGTGGAATTGGAGTAGTTTCCCTCCAGAGCCTCCCACTGCAATATTTATCCTTACTGCAACAAAAATAAATTGTACTAAACATTAGCCCTTCACTTGAATAAGGGGAGGATGGGATGCGGTGATCTCCCTATGTGCTACAGACTGCCTATTCTTAACACATTAGGTGAACCTTACAAATCATGGTCCATTTAGATAACAATCATGTCAACCAAAAGCAATTTACAATACGTGAAGTTTGTTGGAATACAACATTTACTGGAAAAAGTGGTATCTACTAATATGCAACTGAAATTTAAGCAGCTGGAACTTTCTGCCAACTGTGTATTCTTCCCTCCCAGTCTATTTATAAATGACAACTAATGGCAAGCTGATTCACTCAAAACATTGCAGGGCCATACTGCTTTTCAAATTAATTGCACCCAATCAAATATTGCTTTTTCCATCGTTTTCTTTTTATGCTTTATAGTGAGTTTTTTTTTTCTCAGTAGACTGCTTTTATTGCAGACAGTTATACTGAATAAAATTTTTATTACAGCCTTTGGCCAATCAACAGATTGTTATATTGTTCTTTTTTTCTGTGCAGTGCTCTTCAGGAATGCAAGAGCTCTACTGAGAAAAGTAAACCACAATAAATCGTATCCTACTGCATCCCCTCAAACAGAGCAGAGTGCCAAATCAACCTGCTGAGCTCTCTTCATACTGAAACGGTCAAATGATCAATGGGGGCTATTCAAGACATTGCTCAAAAGACAATTTCTTTACATTTTCTCCATGTAAAATAACAGCTTCCATTCAGTCCTTCCAAGAGAAAAACAAATCACTGTTGAGATTACTATCTGTCCTCTTCCTCCAGTACCGAATAGATTGTCTATGGAGATTCTCAGTCATCCAGGTCAAAGTTGTCCCAAAAGTGCTTTTTTTTCCCCAAAAAAGACAACTGGACTCTGTTTTCCTTGAAGATGCTTCGCTTCTCATCCAAGAAACTTTAGTCCTCATTCAAGAAGGTTCTTCAGTTCAGTACTGAAGAAAGTTCTTTGAGAAGTGAAACATCTTTAAGGAAAAACCAAGTCCAGCTGTCTTGAAAAAAACAAAAAAAAACAAACCAGCGTTGGGACATTGGATAGCCTGATTGCTCAGACTTGGAACAGATTTCAGGCAGGTAGTAGTAGACATGTACCATGAATTCACAGAACTGCCAAAATGTCGATAGGAGGGTCAAAATGATAGAAGCATCTTTGCACCATAAGCTCTGCCCTGCCTGAGTGTCTGCTTGGACACTCCAAGTAGTGAGACGGGGTGGAGCTGTTGTTGTAGGTCCAATAGATATATCACCGACTTATAAGAATGTGCAGAATGTCCCATCTCAAACTGGCATTTGAAATGTGGAAAGTCCTGTTTTCAGCAAGAAGCTTTTTGTATGTGTGTGTGTGTGAAACTATTTCAGCTATGAAATGGCCCATGCCTGGGCTGGGAAATTATATATATATAATTTCCCAGCCCAGGCATATATATATATACACAGAAGGTGTCTATAACAGGGAAACTCTTAGGCATTATTGCCAAGACAAGCATACATTCTCATAATCCCCAGCGGTTGATCTCGATTTAAAAAAAAAAACAAAACAAAACTTTGCTTTTTAGGAATTTGAACAAGCAAACTTTTGCACTTCCTCAAACTTCATCTAGTTTCTGCCTGCCTACCAGGCTAAAGATGCTGCATTTTCCTTCTTCCTTCTAGACTAGA